GTAAATATAGATATGGTTAAATGATTAAGGAACCCATGTCTTTCCTTTTTCTCTTGCACTTCTTTCTTTCATACCTTCTTACCTTTTTTCCTTTCTCCTTTCCACTTTTCTCTCCTTCTTTCGCTTTCTCCTCTTCTTCCTTTCTTCTTTTCTTTTATCTCTCAGATTCATTCTCAAAAGATTTCTTGAGGCTTTCTAACCCCATACATCACAATATAAATTTATACATTTGAACTGTTTATCAAATGATTCTCTTTTATAACTGCTTTCTTTAATCATTTATCTATTAACAGACCACCAGAGCCCAACAGGTCAGTGCTTTAATATAGTAAAGGTTTATTTCATTTTTATGGTACAGTCCAAAGAATCAGAAGTTGGGGCAAGGGTGTGGGTGCCAATTAAGATTATGAAATGAAACTCTCCACTGGATCTTCTGCATCTGGTGGCAGACAAGGGAAGAGTGAGAGCAGGAAAATGCTACGAGAGGTTTTATTAGAAGCCAGACCTGGAAGTGGGGACATTATTTCTTTCCATATCTCATTGACCAGATTCCTTAGAAAGTTTCAGTAAACCTCAGGAATGTCCAGGAAATGGAATCTACCTCTGTGCTCAGGAGACAAAGGAAACTGGGTTTGGTAAACAAAAGGATCCTCCTTGCCACACCATTTCTAAAGAATAATGACATTCGTTACAGCTTTTGCTAAAATTGCCTTAAAAAGCAAGCCATTTAAGTATGTATAAAGCATGATTTCACAAACATCTCCTCCCACAAGCCCCCTCTAAACTATGAGCTAAGTAAAGACAGTGAACAACTATTTTCAGGTATGTATTTTATCCAGTATTTCTAGCATGTTGTGTTTAGTTCTTCTACAGTGCTTCCAACACTTCCTGGTTGTTATACACTCATTTTTAATCTCTGTATCTAGAGATAATTTAAAAATCTGGTATGCACATGTATCATGCATTATGCTTTTAAAGTTTAATTTGAGTCCTAATAGGTTAAAGTCATTAATGATTAGATAAATGGCATTTTTTATCTGCTTTTTTGTTCTTCAGTCCAGATGAACAAGGTGTGGACATTCTTACCGTGCTTATGTTTCGATACCCATCTACTGATAGTGCTGAACAAATCAAGAAAAAAATTGAAAAGGCTTTATATCAAAGTTTGAAGACCAAACAGTTATCTTTGACCATAAACAAATCATCGTTTAGACTCACACGTAAGTCTTTTACTTTTATTTGCCACTTTTGTGGTTCCCTCCTCTTATAATCCTCTTTAATTTTTATAAGCAACATACATATATATTTTTTGTAAAATATACCCATTAACATATATACCCATATATAATTTTTTGTAAAATATATATATATGTATATAAAATATCAGCACAGAATAAAACTAAAATAAAATTCCACTATGAGGCAAAATTTAGTATTAAAACATGTTTTATTTCATATTTTACTAGGGATTTTAATAAGGTTTCTAAACTTTTTTCCATATCGTATATTATTGGGTCCTTACAAAAGTTCCAAAGGGTAAGTATTACTTTCACCATTTTACAGGTAAAGAAGCTGAGACTCAAAGAAGATGTGACATGAGATTAGCAAACCTTGGGGCTAGAATTAGACACAGGTATTGTGACTCACAGAGGTCTTTACAGATCAGTTCTGGGGGTTATTTTTTATAGTATCAAAGAAAGACACATTTATGAAGGTTTACCCCTGTAGGAAGAGCCAGAGACATGAACCGTAAAGAGGTTTTCTAGCTTGTTTCCAACTTAAAACTATTTTTCATCCGTTCCTTCTTTATTCCTCATGAAACAAAATAGGACAGTTCTTGTTTTGTTTTCCTCCCAAAGTGGAAGAAAAGGAAGTTCAAATTAAGAAACTGAAATTCAAACTACCTTACAGCTAGTTGGAATCCGAGCTCATTTCTATGCTAATATGTAACTGAAGGTAGTAAAATAACATGTTTTAAATAAAATTTTAAATGTCAAGGGCAGGAACTGTGTCTTTTTATTTTCTTACCCCTCTCTCAAACACTAGCATACATCTCACATGTGATAGGTGTTGCAGCTCTATTCATTGCTTCTTATTATGTATTTCCAAGTTTAGTTACTTCTAATTTAATACAAAAAAGACAGAAGAGGGACTTGTATTTTGGACCCAAAAGACTTCTCCCTTCCCAAAAGCCATATATTTATTTAGGAAACAGGTTATCTAAAGTTAATTCTTTTGTTGTTAGAAATCAGGAAAGTTCTTTAAATATATTTTGAGATAGAATCCCCACAAATATTGTTATGTTCTCATAAAGTAATTAGAAATAATGGAGAGTATAGTATCCACCTTGATTGTTAATCAATTATATTCCGAAGTATAAGTATTTTCCAGCATTCTATACATGGAAATCTCAATTCCTGATGACATAACTGTCCCTAAGCCACAATCATATATCCTAAAGTAAAATATCCATTATAAAAGTGACATTATGTTATGTTTACCGAGTTGTTACTGTTGTAGAGTTTCTTATTGTACAATTTAGTAAAAATTTTGTCATTGTTGGTTACATACAATGATTTTTTATGATACAAGTTGTTTTAATACCAAAATAACTAAATTCTCTGACCATGCTCAATAATGAACTGTATATGTTTTCTTCTGCCACACACATGTATTCTGTTAAATAAAGAGACATATCCATGAAACCTCTAGTAGGAATTGGGGCTTGCATCCCTTTCTGGGGAGAAGTCAGTGTTCCTGATAAAATCACTGTAATTCTCCATTTTCTCACTGACAAACAGAAAACCAATCACCCAACAAACATCTAATGTATCTGAGTTATAATGAACATGAATGAATAAATTTGAAGGGAAAAAAGATGTCATGGAAGGGAAACATAAAATGAAGTGAAAGTTTGGGTGTGACTGGGGACTCTGGACTGGTTGTATGTGAAAGAACTTCATGCTTCTAGTTCCTGCTGCCTGAGCCACAACCATCTAAGCCATTCACAAGAGAGAATCCTCAGGGAGACAAGGTTATCAACCTGCACTGACTAAATTCCTACTCTGTTAGATCAGGGCCTTGAAATTGGGCCCTCAGGGATCTGTGATGCATTTAGCTCCATAGAGCTACCATTTCAGACTGGCCATTAGGAATGTGCCTAAACCACATAGGTTGGTAAACACCAATTGTGATGGGAATTGGAGGTTGCTCCCTCAGATTATACTGAAGCCCCCAAAGAAAACAGTCAGAGACATTTATCCTTATTTATTATTTCCTAATTTCCTAGTTTCTATTTCTTTTTCCTGAGCAAAATCAGGAAATAAAATGCCCTCTGATTTAATTTTAAAGTAAATTATACAATTTGGACCAAAAATAAAATCAGAGTAAAGAGTTATTTATATATTACTTGATTATGAAAAATCTCATGCTCTCTTGAAATATGTATGCTTTGTATAATTCGCATTTCTATTAATGACCAATTGAACAAGGTAACATGAAAATGGGAATATATTATTCTGCCAGCTAATTCATTTTTTGCTTATTCCAGCGATTGACAGCAGAAAGATGAGGAATCTTCTCAACAGTCGTAAGTATCAAAACCCACAATTAACTGTTTATTTCACAGTGAAAGATCATGAAAAAAAGTTATAGAAAAGTTAGCGGTAAGGTTTACCAAGCTTTTTAAGACTCATTTAATATTTTTGTAAGTCTTTTAAAATTATTTTTAGTATTTAAATTTATAAATTTATACTAAATACAATTTTAAGTTTATATGACCTATGAGTTTATATGTTTATATGACCTATGTATGTTTATATGTTTATACTACCTATAAGTTTATATGACCTAACACCTTACATAATATTCTAGATATTATATTAATATTCATTATAAATAGCTCTTTTAATATTATCTGACAATTCA